AACGGTATTTTCAATCCCACTGCTCTGGCCTATCCACATTTCAAACCTCTAACTTTCATAAACCATCTACTTTCTCTCTTGAAATCGCAAATGGACTCTGCTTAGCACCTTGCTTGATGGGCAATCCATATCCCAATAACTACACTAAGTTTAATGAGTAAAGTATCCAATTGTTCAGGTGATAATTGTTCAGGGGTGTACTTTGCTAATGAAGCTGAAGCCCTCTAAAAACAGCTGTCATAATAATAATAATAATAATAATCCTTGCATTTGATATAGCGCTTTTCACGTCGGGAGGACGTCCCAAAGCGCTTCACAGAACACACTGTAAATCGAATTGACTGTATATTTGTGGGCGAATGCGGCAGCCAATTGCGCACAGCAATGTCCCACAAACAGTCGTAGATTGAAAATGACCAATTTAATTATTGTTTTTGGTTTTGGAGGGATTATTATTAGGTGTATGGAGTGAGGAAACTTGCCCAAGGTTTCGCCCTCTGCCTGGAATTGAGCTCAGGTCTCTCACTTTCAAAGGGAGTGCAACCCACAGCAGTGTACAATCCAGAAGCTTCCAAACAAATCCAAATGTTCTTTCACCTTTGAACAAAGTCAAAGTGGGCAGTTGCACATCATATCAGACATGGTTTGATAGTTTCACCGATAGAGGAAGTGGAAAAAGCACTTTTCGTTTCAAATTTAATGGAGCCTTTGATAGTCCCACAAACACCCATGGAGTGAATGAGCAATTTTATCCAAGGGATTGTTGGCCAGGGCACTGGGAGAGAGAAACTCAGACATAGTTTAATCTTTCATCTGAATGACGCACTTCCAACAACGTCATCACCCTCATCCTCAAAAAACCTTCCATGAACCCATCACTACTTTCCAGCTGTCACCCTTCTCCAACCTCCCATTCCTCTCCAAGGCCCTGAAATGAGTCGTCGAGTCCCAGCTGCATTCGTTCCTCTCCCTCCATTCTCTCTCTGAACCCTTCTAATCGGGTTTCCGTGCTGCCCACAGCAGGGAACAGCCCTGGTCAAAGTCACTAATGACATTCTATCCTTGTCCTCTTCAAGCTCTTTGCTGCCTTTGACACTGTCAAACACTCTATCCTCTTCTACCGAACTCTACTTCTCTGCCTCTGCCCTCAATTCCAGAACAACTGATGTCCTGATAGACTGTGTCAGACATCAAATCCTGGATGAGAGCCAACTTTCTACAACTGAATGTCAGCAAGACTGAGGCTGTCCTTATTGGCTCGCAACAGAGCCTCCGCACCTCAGGCACTGGCAGCATCGCCATCCACCTCACCAAGCCAGTCAGGAATCTGGGCGTCTTGGTCAACTCTCAACTGTTCTTTCTCCCCCATATCCATGCCACTTCCTACTCTGCCTTCCCCCACCTCTGCAACATTACCCGCCTCCGCCACTGCCTCACCCCTCAGGCTGCTGAACCCCTCATACATGCATTTGTCACCTTAAGGCTCGACTACAGAAACTCCCTCCTTGTCGGCCTCCCCAACTCTTCCCTCCACAAGCTGCAGATCATCCAGAACTCTGCAGCTCGTGTTCTCTCGCATACCAGGCTCCATGATCCCATTACCCCACCCTCGCCTGGAACCACTGGCTCCCCATCCCTCAGAAGATAGAATTCAAAATCTTCATCCTCACTTTCAAGGCCCTCCATGGCCTTGATCCCTCCTACATCTCTGATTTACTGACCCCCTATCAACCTATCCCTCTGTTCAGCAGCCTGTGGCCTGCTCCAGGTCTCCCGCTAGACCCGCTCTGCCATCAGTGGCCAGGCTTTCAGCCTCTCTGTCCCCACCCTTTGGAACTCCATCTCACAATCCCTTTGCCTTGCTCCCTCTCTTGCCTCTTTCAAGGCACGACTCAAGACCCTTCTTTTTGACTGCTGCCTTCAGCCGTCCTCTTAACCCTTTGACCTCCCTCATCCCAACCCTGTCCCCATGCTCGGGTCCTGATCCCTGACTGTTCAGCGCCTTGGGATGTCCTCCCGATTTACAAATGTAATTTTGTTGTTATTGTTATTGTTGGAACACCAGCCACCTCAGCTCCCTCAAGACACAAATGCCACTGGCTCAAATCTAATTTAACGGTCCACTGGCAGACCTGGCTTGACCACATCAAAACTTACGCCTTTGCCTCTGCTAAATCGTCCTTCTACTCCAAGAGAATCTTGGAGGCCAAGGACAACCCCAGGCTCCTCTTCTCCACCATCAACTGGCTATCACACCTTGCCCATCCTTTCCTCCAACTACGAGGAGACACTGGACTTCCTTGAGTCCAAAATCGAGGGGATCCGCTCAGCCGCCTCTGCCCTCCCAACCACTACCCCTCCCCATCTGCCCGTCACACTCCAGGCCCTGCACATCCCTCCCTCCACACCTTTGAACTTGTTTCCCCCTCCTCTGTCACCATCATTATAACGCAAAAGAAACCTACCACCTGCTCTCTCTCGAGCATCCCTATCGCTCCTCTTACTCCCAGCTCCACCTCTTCACCCCTCTACTCACAAATCTCATCAACCTCTTCTTGTCCAATAGCACCGTTCCCAACCTTTAAAAACAGCTGTTTGAAATGACCCTATCCTCAAAAAACCTTCCCTGGATCCATCCCTGCTCTCAAATTACCGCCGCGTCTCCAACCTCTCTTTCCATTCCAAGATCCTTGAATGTGTCTTTGCTTCCCATCTTCGCTCCTTCTTCTCCCACCACTCTCTATACAAACCCCCCCCAATCAAGTTTCTGTGCTGTCCATTGCACATTGTCAAAGTGACAAATGACATTCTGTCCATCTGTGACCAGATGTCTCCTCGTCCTCCTTGACCTCTCTGCTGCCTTTAATACTGTCGACCACTCTATCCTCCTCCACCGCCTCTCCTCTCACCTCAACCTTCATGGTTCTGTCCTTCAATGGATCAGATCCTATCTCTTACACCGTCTCCATTGTCTCGACAAGCAGCTTCTCCTCCAGCCCCCGCATCCTCGTGTGCGATGCTCCTCAGGGCTCTGTCCTTGGTCCTCTCGTCTTCAACCTGTACATGTTCCCTCTTGGCGACATCATCCGCAGACATGAAGTCATGGGATGAGGGTGGACAAAGGCATGGTTGAAGAGGAGTGTTTTAAGACACGCTTTGAAAGAGGTGAGGGAGCAAGGTGAAGGACGTGGGATGGTTTTCTATAGGGTGGGGCAGAAAACCTGAAAGCCTGGTTGCTGATGGTAGGGGTGGGCTGGGCATGGGATGTGGAGCAGACCAGACCCAGCCGAGCGGAGAATGCGGACAGTTTGATATGGGGTCAACAGGTTGCAGAGGCAGGGAGGGGCGAGGCCGTGGAGGGCCGTGAAGACGAGGATGAGGATTTTGAACTCTATCCTCTGGGGGATGGGGAGCCAGTGGAGCCGAGCGAGGGTGGGGGTGTTAGGATCACGGAGACTGGTGCGGGAGAGGACACAAGCTGCAGAGTTCTGGATGATCTGCAGCTTATGGAAGGAAGAGTTGGAAAGGCCGACAAGAGAGTTGGCGTAGTCAAGCCTAGATGTGAAGAATGCGTGGGAGAGGGTTTCGACGGCCTGAGGTGTGAGGCAGTGGCGAAGTCGGGCTATGTTGCGGAGGTGGGGGAAGGCAGAGCGGGTCATGGTGCAGATGTGCTGCACCTGTGTGTGTGTGTCACAGGCTGCCACTGATGATTAAGGATCAGGATCAAGATGATCCTGATGGCACTTTCTGCCTGGCTGCTTCATTGTAATTGAGATGTAACATGTTGATTACCCGTTCTGTGAGTCATGAAATAAATCACTGAAATGTTAATATCATCCCAGAGGATAGATCAAAACCAGGTTCATCATCAGGAACATTGATTGTTTCAAAATTAATTTCAACATCTCCACAAAAAACAATTATTCTGAAAAGCTAGAGAGGGTCTCCTGCATGTACACCAATAGTGAAGTAACTATCAAGCATCCATGGTATCTGGAGAACTCGCCTCACAAGCAAGAGGACTTAGGTTCAATTCCTGGGTGGGGTGAAACATTGGGCAAGTTTCCATACTCCACCACCTCAGTTTATCCAGCAGTAAGTAGGAACTTGTTATTCGATTGGCAGATTACTTTTCCGGGGGTAATAATCCCTTCAAAAAATAATAATTTGGTCACTCAATCCATGACTGTTTGCGGGACGCTGCTGTGTGCAATTGGTCTCCGCGTTTCACCCACAAAATATACAGTCAATTCACTTTCAGTATATTCTGTAAAGTGGTTTGAGATGTCTCTATGACATGATAAGGCACTATGAATTTGATGGTTGGCAGGAGACTGATTAATCTTATGCAGTGTAAACGTAGCGAGAACAAATCAGCAATTGCTGTTAACACAACAAATGGTTTTGTGATCGCTGCACAATACACCTGATTGTAGGAATTACTAGTTCAACGACTTGATTTAAATTGATTCTTTTCTCTGTTCTGTTTTTTTAAAATATAAAGAATTCGTGGAAAATATTGCATATGGTTGTCACCCCCCAACTCCCACTCTCAATTTTCTCCCTTCCTGGTCTTGCTTGTGCTCAGTGCTAAAAAAAAACCCATGAATTACTGTCATATCTGTTTACGCATAATAATAATAATCATTTCATTTGGAATAGCGCCTTTCACATTGGAAGGATGTCTCAAAGCTCCTATATAAAGTTTAGTGCCTAATTATTTGTAGGCAAACGAGGCAGCCAATTTTCCACAGCAATGTGAATAATTATTTGAATAAAACCAGTTGAACTCACTGAACAAACGAAAGACTGGCCTACTTTGTCCTCATTAGTGAGTTTGGAATGCTGGTCATCAGTTGGTTCAATGACAAAAAAAGGAATATCTTCTGAGTTCAACCACGTCAGGTTCAACTGTCCTCAATTAGGCACACACTTCTAGAACATTGGCATCAAAGTGCTTTTGCCTGTCAATGAGTTAATCAGTCAGTACTATCCAGCGGTTTGGTAGCATTGTAATGTGTCTGCCACGTTTTTATTTTACATTCACAATATACAGTCACATATTTGCAATATTGATACAAACAGATTCCCAACAACGCTGAGTTAGATGGTGATTGTTATTGAGCCTCAGGTTTGTTCTATCCATAGTTGTTATTCCCTTTGCTGGTAAGAGGCTCATTGTAAACAGTGACAAGATTTGACAAGGTCTCATCAGTCGGCATTAACTCCTTCATGTCCACACACATTAGATGATAAATGTTGTTGGGCAATATCACTGAGGGACAGATATACATTACTGCAGAGCTCATTCATCGCGTACCTCAGACCCCATTCTGAACTACACCTTCTCTGCTGCAGACTGCTCTCCCCAGTCAGTGCACTGATGGCTCCAGTGTCTGTGAGTTAGAACAAGCTGGATGACCACATGGTGCTCAAGGCAATATATGAGCTGTGGTCTCATGCAGACTGAGAACACACACATTGCATGAGGTTTGGAATCTCCAGCATGAGCTCCAAACCATCCGTTAGTAAATATTGTACCTAAGAATGGCAATGGAATGAGTAACATTGATAGAGACCAACTAGCGGTCCTCATTTAATAAACTCCACGTACCCATGGTTACATTTGGACCAAAAGACTTCACAATATGTATGATTCCATTTATTATAACACATATAATTTTTAATTTAAAACGCTACTTGTCAACTGATTTCTCCGTTTGATAATATATATTCAGAAATTGGTATTTATTTTTAAATCACAAGATAAAAGTGACCCCTGCTGACTGCACGATCCATCTTGTAATGGCATGAGTGCCTCAACCGATGGCGGTGAGTGTTCAGATGAATGCTCCCCCACCCAAGCCTTTGAAGATACCGGTCTACTGAGCAAAAATAATTCCCCCTGGATCATGCTGGCCCGTCGCTATCCCGCTTGTTTTAAGACATTTCTGATTGTCCATTTTTGTCCAGAGCACTGCCGCAAAACAAGCTCCAACCCAAAGTCACTTTTTCTGCCGGTCTCCACCTCCAAACAACGGCCCGTTTCCAAGTTCAGGATCGATCCATTCTGCAGACACAGAACAGATAACGGTCACTGTTACTGATAGTATGACTTGAGTTTGCAAACTATTTGCAAGGATCCTGGGTGAACTGATTGATTGATTGCAGAAGCATGAGTTGTTTGCAGGAGACACATCGATCCAGGGCTTATCTATACAGTAGCTGGTTACCACTATGTTACTGGCTTATGTTTAGGTTGCACTCCATCTGAGGCATTAATGTTGAATACAGGAATAAGCTGTGGTGTAAATGATGCTTGATGCTGGCAACCAGGCAGCTATTCAGCCAACACCACTGTATGGGGCTGGTTACTACCTTTACAACTCGTTAACTTATTTTTACAGAACATATAAAAAGCAGCACTGACCTGTACAAAGCGCCAGGATTTCAGGTGAATGTTTTTCACTTTTTCGCAGTCAACGAGCTGAGGAAATTGACTCTTCCTGTTGTCCACCAGACAGCGCGTATCTGGCAGCAGCACTGTGGAGCCCAGTGGGCCGAGATACAGGTACCCTTCCCTCGTGTATCTCACCAGCTGCAAACAAAGAACAGGATTGCGTTGAATAAGCTGTTTTCTCCCAACTGGATAGAATGATGCAGTCAATGTGATGGCAGGCAGCATTGTAGGGTGAGTATTCTTGAAGGAGGAGATCAAATGGGCTGAAAGACCTTCATCTGAATGGAATTTGTAACATCTCAAGAGCCAATGTGGTGGACGCGACTCTTTCTGCAATGCAATGCCTGTGAATGTCCACTGGAGGGCATTCCACATTCAGCGTTGTATTCAGGTTTTCAAATGTCAAGTAAATAAAACCACAGAAGTCCTGGAATCATAGAAAGTTGACAGCACAGCAGCTATTCTGCTAATTATGCCCGGGCTGCTGTTAGCTCCCTTCTGGAGCTATCTGTTCTAAACCCAATTTTGGTGTAAACTCACATCCACTGTGAACTGTGCACAAGCCGGATTAACTGTATGACCAAGTCTTGATGCACAAATAAAGTATTTCAGTAATGTGGAGATAGAGGATCAGGACATGACCAGGAGAGATCGCAATGGCCCATCTGGTTATCCCCAAATAAAATAAGTAATAATCCCACACTATGTTATCTGTCATATACCCCAATAGGTTTTTTTGTTGCTAAATATTTAATTCCTTCATGAATTACTGGGTATTCCATTCAATCGAGTGAAGTTTGATGTCTTTCTTAGTTATGTGTCTGCAAGTCACCAGTTCCTAACAACATTATCTGTCACCTGTGGAATCTTCCATTACTGTCAAATGATCATTAAAGCTTTTGAACCCAGGCTGTTGTGCTAGATATGATAGACATGTCAAAGATAATAAAGAGCATAAAGAGCTTTCTGTATCATATCGATTGGCAAAAACAGTGCCATTATATTGTAACAAATGCTCCCCCTTAATGATTATTGGGTTAAGTTCCAGAAATGCATTGGAAACTCATGAACAGTTGTTAACAAAGATTATGGATTTTAGATAATGATTCTTCTTTTGGATTGTCCATCAGTGAAATAGTGTGTGGGATGCAGAGCTCACCACAAGTCAATGCAATCTCAGGTTATTGTGCATGTGATGTTTCAAAGATATACACAGTCCAGGGTACTGGCATGCATGGCCTGAAAGGGTGGTGGTACTTGATTCGATAACAACTTTTAAGAGAGTAGATAATTATTTGGGGAGGACACGTTTGCAGGGCTATGGGGAGAGAGCGGGGGAGTGGGGTTGATCAGGGCTATGGGGAGAGCACGGGGACGTGGGGTTGATTTGGAAGCTCTTTCAAAGACCGGCACAGACACTATGGGCCAAATGGCCTCCTTCTGTGCTGTATATTTCTATAATTCTATGATGATAGGGTGAACAGCAGAGCTGTGAATACCAGTGACATGAGGTTGGGTGAAAAATTCTCTGTATGTGAATATCAATCCGTCTCCAGGGGAGAATGAGAGTGGAGCTCAGCCGCTCGCTCTACTTTCTTTACTTTCAAACAAGATAAATAGGTTCAGGGTACCGAGGGGCACTTTCAGGACAGGCAGCAAGAAGTATTTATTTTAACCCAGAGGATAATTAACAACATTAGTTACAGGTCACCAGGAAGGGTGGTTGAGGCCAGAATGCTGCTCTTATTTACAAAACAAATTGATGCAGTGATGGGAGCTTGGGTATTCTGGAAGCATGAGATCATATGGTGTGAAGTGCTTTTCTTCATTGAATTGATCTTGTAAAACATACTGCTTAGTTTGCTAACAAAATTATACAATCACAGAAACCTCTTCTCAAGTTTCAATCCTCCTGCTGCCTCTGTGTTGTGTGCGTGTGTCACAGGCTGCCATTGATGGTGATGCTGCCTGGCTACCTCACTGTAATTGAGATACAACAATTAACTCTTCTGTCACCCATGAAATAAATCACTGAAATGTCCCTGAACATCTATCTACCAGGGAGCAAATGGTAGAGTTCATATCATTCCAAAGGATAAATCAATAATAATAATCTTTGCATTTATTATTATTATTCGATATAGCGCTTTGTCATTGAGATGTCTCACAGCGCTTCACAGAGTATATTGTAAAGTGAGTATTTTGTGGGTGTAACGCGGCAGTCAATGGCCAAAATTATTTTTGAGGGACTATTACTATATTTTTATTTGAAGGGATTATTATCCCAGAAAAATGATCCACCAATCGACTAACAACGTACTTAATGCTAGGTAAACAGAGGAGTGTGGAGTCAGAATACTCGCCTAAGGTTTCGCCCTGCCCGGGAATTAAACTTGGGTCCTCTTACTTGCGAGGCAAGTGCTCTAACCAATACGCTACAGGACTCCTGTAGGTTAATCAACATCAATATTGATTGTTTCAATATTCACAATAATTTATTTTATTACCCACAAAATATTAGAGACAATCTATCTCTCCAGCTGTTCCCAACAGTGATGAAATTTAAATTAATATTTAAATAACTATTAAATAACTACTATTAATATAGAAACTATAAAAGGTAAACTGGAGGTTTCATCTGACTGTTCAGATGGATATTAATGACCCTATGACACTATTGGAAAAGAGGAGTTGCTCCCAGTGTCGTGGCCAACAAGCCTCCATCTTATTTGGTTACTCACTTTATTGCTGTTTGCTGTTACTGTGCACAAATTTACTTCAATTTCTGGTGTCTTTGTTTAATTCTCTATGTCTAAGATCTTACTCCGTTTACATCTTCACGTTGTTTGCTCTTGGCATTGAAGGGTGGATTCAGATGGTTTTTTTGGAAACCCCTGATCTTTGCTGTCAAACTGCAGCCCAGTACAAGTCATTGCCTTTAGCAGCAAAGTTGGCAACATCGCAGAACAAGTAAAGATTTCGTTGCCATTGCCTCAGGTTCACAAAAACAAATTATTTTGACATGAGAATCTTTACACATCAATTGCCAATTATCCCGCGTTAGTTATATTGCACTCCAGTAAAACGGCAAATTCGTATCTTGTTCCTGGATCCTATTAAGATGTGATACTTTGCGTGGGAATCAACGACATGATTAAAAACACAATTACTCGCCTCTGGCCTTAAAGTTAATTCCACTGCTCCTTCAACAGACTGGATTTATTGTTGTGCACATAAATGTTCCTCTCAACAAGAAATACGACTCCTGAAAAATAGCATTGTTTTAAAAGCACCCAATAATGAATCTTTTGTTAAAATGTATGGTTCAAATTAAACCATGTAAAGAAGTAATATAGAATGGGTCGTTACCCAGTTCAGCACATTGGTCTTCACCCAACCAAACAGAAACTTGCTAAATAGACACTAAAATAAGGTAAAGATGAGGAAAATGTTTCTGTGTTGTTGTCTCATGGAGTTTCCTCTCCCCTTACATTCCACAACCCAGGAAGTACGCTGGAGACTGGACTTGGACCTGAACCTAAATTGCTTTAAAAACATTTAACCCATTATCAGTTTAGCTTTGCATCCTAACATAGTTCCTTTTCATACCTCTAGAATTTCATCTATCATATTCATCAATTCCATCTATTATACTCTCTGAAATTTCTGTGCAATGCATGACACAGTGATCAATAATTTTTTTATTCAAATGAATTATTTCTTAAGCAGGGAGAAGTCTGTCAGGTACAGAAAATCATACTCGGCTTAACAAGAAAAAATATTTCCTGGGGCACATAATCTATTAATATTCCAAACAATCCTCCACAGTATCAATGACACCACATTCTAATTGATCTTCATTTAATTTTAAATTAACTCCCAGCAGTATTTACTCAGCAGCTTTAATTAGGCTGAGTCATAGCAGTTCTATTTTAGCTGTGGAGTTTATCGAATGGGCTGATTTTCTAGTCACTTACCTCAAAATCGAGCCTTCACATAAAACACAGAAAAAACATGCATATAGTAAAGGCCTGTGTGCATATGCCAGCAAACTCACCACCTGACATGTGCCTAATTTGAACCATTATTGAAATTAATTAGTAACACTATTAAAGTAACACTTTTTTTAAAATTACAAAGCCAATAAAATTCCATGTTTTGAATCAAAGCACATTAAAGTGCTCCCTAAAGGTAATGTTTGATTTGCTGAACGTGCCGGCGAGATAAATCAAACAACAATAAGTATTATTCCTGACCCAGGCTGACTCAGATCATTTCTATAACAATTGCGCAGTTCTGTAGCTCAGTGGTTAGAGCACTTGCCTTGCAAGCGAGAGGATCTTGGTTCAATTCCAGGGCAGCGCAAAACATTGGGCAAATTTCCTAGCTCCACACACCTCTGTTTACCTAGCAGCAGGGAAGAACCCGGTTCTTAGTCGGATTGCTTTTCTAGGGGTAATAATCCCTTCCAAAAAAAATTGGGTCACTCAATCCACAACTGTTTGTGGACACTGCTGTGCGCAATTGGCTGCCGTGTTCTGCCCACAAAATATACAGTCAATTCACTTTACAGTATATTCACTGAAGCACTTTGAGATGCCTCAAAGACGTGATATGGCGCTATATCAAATACAAGGATTATAACTATTATGGTGATGATAACAACCAGTTTGAACATTCAGTATCATTAGATTGAGTACAAGACTATATAGAAATAGGTAAAGATTAGGGGAGTCAAGAGAGAAATGGTGTTGAGACAGTCCATAAATTGATAGATACTTGAAAAGGCAGTACATTAAAAGTATGAAAGCAAGCAGCAGGATGGAATTAGAATAGGTGTCTCTGCCAGCACTTTGAAAAGATCCATCCATATCAATCCCACTCACCCGCGCTCTTGCAAACTTGTCCTCCCCAAATAATTATCTACTTCTCTCTTAAAAGTTATTATCGAATTGGCTTCCACCAGCCTTTCAGGCAATGCATTTCAGATCCCAACAACTCGCAGTGTGAAAACATTTCTCCTCCCCTCCCCTCTGTTTCTTTCAACAACTATTTTAAATCGGTGTCCTCGGGTTACCAACCCACCCGCCAGTGGGAATAGTTTCTCCTGTTCACCCTATCCAATCCCTTGTAATTTTGAAAAAATCTATTAAGTCTCCTCTTAACCTTCTCTGCTCCAAGGAGAATAATCCGAGCTTCTCTACCTCTCCTGATCACTGAAGTCCCTCATTCCTGGTACCATTCTGGTCAATCTCCTTCACACCCTCTCCAATGCCTTGACATCCTTCCTAAAGTGTGGGGCCCAGAACTGAACACAGTCTCTCGCTGAGGCCTAACCAGTGTTTTATATAAAGGTTCATCATAACTTCCTGACTTGTGTATTCTATGCCCCTATTTATAAAGCCTCGATTGCCGGACGCTTTTTTAACAGCTTTATCTTCCTGTCCGGCCTCCTTCAAGATTTACTATATGAACCCTCAGGTCTCTCTGTCCCTTCACCCCCTTTAAGATTGTACCATCAGCTTATATTGCCTCTCCTCATTCTTCCTCCCAAAATCATCACTTCACATTTCTCCACATTAAACTCCATCTGCCACGTGTCTGCCCATTTGACCAGTCTGTCTATGTCCCCTTGCTGTCTGCTCCTATCCTCCTCACTGGTTACTCCTTTTCCTCGCTTAGTATCGTCTGCAAACTTGGAAATTGTGCTCCCTATACCCAAGTCCAGGTCATTTATATAGATCACAAACAGCAATGGCCCCAATACCGACCCCTGTGGGACACCACTGCACACTTCCCTCCAGTCAGAACAACAACCGTTCACCACCACTCTCTGCTTTCTGTCTTCCAGACAGTCCTGTATCCGCTGTCCCTGTCCCTTTAATACCGGGGGCTTCTATTTTGCTTACAAGTCTCTTATGTGGCACTTTGTCAAACGCCTTTTGAAAATCCATATAAACGACATCAACTGCACTATCTCCATCCACCCTCTCCGTTACTTCATCAAAAAACTCTATCAAGTTTGTTAAACACGATTTCCTTTTAACAAATCCGTGTTGACTGTCCTTTAATAACCTATATTTTTCCCGGATTATAGTCTCTAGAAGTTTCCCCACTACTGACGTTAGGCTGACTGGCCTGTAGCTCCCAGGTTTATCCTTCTGCCCCTTTTTGTACAGGGGAGTAACATTTGCAGACCTCCAGTCCTCTGGCACCACCCGGTGTCCAAGGAGGATTGACAGATTGTGGCCGGAACCTCCGTTATTTCCACCCTTACTTCCCTCAGTAACCTAGGATGCATCCCATCCAGACCGGGTGACTTATCTACCTTGAGCACTATCAACCTTTTTAGTACCTCCTCTCAATTTATTCTTATCTTATCCAATTTCTCTCCCCTCTCCTCCAATACTGTGGCATTGGCTGCATCCTCTTCTTTTGTGAAGACAGATGCAAAATACACATTCAGTACGTCAGCCATACCCTCTGCCTCGATAAGAAGATTTCCTCTTTGGTCCCCAATTGGACCCACCCTACCTTTTATTCTGTATATGCTTACAAAATACCTTAGGGTTCCCTTGTATGTTACCCACTAATCTTTTCTCATACAATCTTTTGGCCTCTCTTATTTCCCTTTTCACTTCTCTGTACTTTCTATCTTCTATTTGATTATCTTCTGTATTTTGGACCTGACATTATCATAAGCCTCATTTTTCTATTTTATTTTAAACCCAATTTCCTCATTCATCCAGGGAGGTTTGGATGCCCTACTTTCCCCTTTGTGGGAATGTATTTGTTCTGTCCGCGAACTATCTCCTCCTTGAAGGCTTCCCATTGCTTGTTAGCTGTTTTACCTGCCAGTCTTTCTTTCCAGTCCACTTTGGCTAGGTCCCTTTTTAACTCACTGAAATTAGTCTTCTTCCAGTTGAGTATCTTCACCTTTGGTTGCTCCTTGTCCCTTTCCATCAGTACTCTAAACCTAATTATGTAGAATTGATAGCCTGTATTATAACAATCTATCATTTGTTAGTGTTTGTCTATAAATAGCAGTCATTACACTCCGCAGAAAAAATCCCATGAAACACTTTTGAGATCTCTTGACGACATGATAACAACAACAACAACAACAAAATTACATTTGTAAAGCGCCTTTCACATCAGGAGGACATCCCAAGACGCTGGACAGACAAAGTTACGGATTTGAGCTGGGGGTTGGGGTCTGGGTGGGTGGAGGGTAAAGTTACTATATATAAGTTATATATATGTTACTATATTAAATGAAAAAAAATTATTATAGCAACTTTATTTATTTAAATACTTTCGTGAAAATCCCCTACAAATTAGCTTTAATTGGGTGAAGGTAAAACAGGATCAGAGCACGTGCATCACCTACCTGGGGAACCATCCCATGACAAGGATACAGAATGGCTGTGTGGTTCTCTGATGGGCCCTGATCTAAGCAGAAATCTTTAGCCTTATTGTTACGAACCTGTTAAAGCAACACAAAATTAGTACCTTATATAAGGTCTCCTCTGAGTCATACTTTTTAAGGCTGAAGTGCTTGCTTATCATTGCTCATAGCTCTTGCATCATTCTCAACTTTTCTCTGCATTGCCTCAAGGATCTGGGCTTATGTCATGGTGATCAGAAACTCCAGATATGGCCTGACCAAAGCAGTGTGCATCCTGAGCATGCAAAGCGTCTCCACATACTCGTGTCAAGTGACTGTAATGATGACCAAAGTCCAATCCCCTGCCAACACTCATTATCACTGCAGCTCACACTCAGTGGAAGCCAATTCTTATGAAGGCCAGTTTACAAATTAAAACTCATATTCCAAAATTCTGATATTCATTTTCCCCCCTCCCCCCCTTCAAATCCTGCCTAAAGACCTTCATTTTTGATCGTGCGTACGGGCACCTCCCCGCTCCCTCTCCCTTGGCTTGGGATCAGACTCCGCTATTGTGAAGTACTGCGGGATGCTACGTGGCAAGAAGTGTGCTGTATAAATGAAAGTTGTTGTTGAATGATGTTAAATTTTAATAATGATCGTGAGAAATAAGAACGTGAGAAATGTAGGGTCTCAGATTCTGTTCTGAGTAGGATGGGATGACAAGGTGAAAGGAAGACATTGGGAATCACATAAAATTGTTCAGTTGAAAGTGTTCTACCTCCCCATAGGCCACAGTGTTGTTGAATCTCCTCATCTCTGGATACACATTGTCCAAGTACCACTGGAAACTTTTGCAATTGAGATGTTTTCGCAATAGTACTCTCTCAGAAATATCCCCAATGTCAATCCCTGGATTCTGGAAGTGAAACAGGTTTTATACCTTTAATTACTGTTTTCAGCAGAAAGAAAGTTCTTTAAGTTTTGGTATTTCTTAACAGATTTCTTAATAAGAAATGTCTAAGTATTGAATTTCTAAAGTATATTCTTCAGCACATTAAATGTTTTGGGATTCAATATTTCTTATTATATTTCTTATTGAGAATAGAGTAAGTTAATGACTCAAAATCACAGGTTTGGCAGATTGCTGCTTTCTTCTCATCATTAAACCTTTGATGGTGTTCTAATTATACAGCAAGTCAAGCATTCAGTGTAATTCATTATTAATCCAGAAATTTAGCACTCTTCATACTCCACTCTTTCAAAGTCCCCACTTACATCCATAGGAATATTCCATGCGATGTAAACATGAGATTTGTAATCATCCATCCAGACTTCAGCCACACGCAGTGCATTTCTCTTGGTGTAGAACCCAATATCGCTATTGTAGGGCTTTTTCATGCGTTCAATATGAGCCACTCTGGAGCAGGGCAGCACCTCCATACTTCCACCACACAGCCAGACCTGAAACAGCAAGTGAGAGTCAGACAGACAGAACAGTTACTTTCTATAGTTTGTGCAAGGCTTAGAAGTGATGCCACCACATAGTATACAGAGATGCTCTTTGCTAATCACAGGCTATACAAAGGTGTCACTGCTCATACCAGACTACGTTGAGGTGTCACTGTTAATAATCCTTGTGTTTGATATAGCGCCTTTGAGATGTCTCAAAGCGCTTCACAGGATATACTGTAAACTGAATTGACTCTATATTGACTGAATATCAGAGTATACAGAGGTGTCACTGCTAATATTAGATTATAATAGTATCTCAGGAAGAACTGTCCTAGGCTTGAAAGAGGTGAGCAAGCTGGAACACGTAAACAGCTAAACATAGCAGCAGAGGGAGCTCTCGGGTAAGTCACAGGAGTTTGCAAAGCACCTTGTTTACTCTGAAAATGGAACTCAAACAAAGCAACTCCCGTTGGGTGGAATGCATTCCCACAACCCGCTGATTAAACAGGTTTTGACTGCACCAGTGCAGCATCAGCTCCAGCAAAGTGAATTATTCATTGCTTGGTGGACCCTGGGCATTTAAGATGATTTGATAGTGATCCGGATAGTTTGCTCGGGTGTAAATCCCTGACTGTCCAGCGCCCTGGGACATCCTCCTGACATGAAAGGCGCTACACAAATGTAATTTGTTAATTTGTTGTTGTTGGTACAGTACAAGTCACATAAGCCGTATCAATCAGGATCACATTTAATATGACTTACGCAAATTCTGAGTTACAGGATAACTTGTATATGATTTATAAAGGTAAGACTTATGCAAGTTTTACTGTATTCTGGATTCACTTGAACCTCTTACAATCAGACCTACAGATTGGAGCTTGGAGTCATCTTTTCAAATGTGATAAATCTCAGATGGAAGGACATGGGCACAATCCTAACCTCGTGTTAACAGATGTGTTATGGAGACGGGGGCATATTGCTATATCTTAACATTTTACAGATTTCCAAAATGTTCGCTAGTTTTAGTTATCAGTGTACCAGTGTTACAAAGAAAGAATTTACAGCACAGAAACTGGCCACTCGGCCCAACCAGTGTTTCAACCACTGCTTTAGGCAGCAAGTTCCAAAATGTCCGTCCCTCTGGGTGATGTAGTTCCTCCTAAGTTCTCTTTTAGTGAAATGGTTCTCTTTTAGAGAATTTAGGAGAAACCACTTCACTAAATAAGAGACCCTAAGTTCACTTTTAGCCATATATATGGCAATCTATGGAAGTTCCATTACAAACTCAGAGCAAACACTCTCTAATGCTAGTGATTTATATGTGCCACAATTCCTGCAGACATTAAGAAAATTCTCTTACACTGAAACCATGTAGACTGAACAATGTCTTGTCATTCAACGTTGCATCTTTCTCTCTCTGGGAACATAATGGATTCAGCTGCCCGATTCCAAACTGTACAGCATCCTAGCACAGACTAACAATGAAGCTCACATGGCACATGACTGCACAGATATGCATTAAATTCCACTCTGCAATGGCATATCACAGAGTTGAATGATGTAGACCATAAAAATGTTGACCAGCTCTTGTGATTAATGTCCTTTGCTGGAAATGAAAGGACTTTTATTACACACCAGACTTCAGCTACAGTGTCTCTGTATTGACACCTGATAAACATCTTTACCTGTAGTAAATTTCCAGAGGTGTTGATGTTCCAATAGAACGTTCAGAAGCTCACAGACTTCAAGAGCACTCCCTTCGGTCTTTTTAAAGGAAGGCTGACAGGTTGTCAGATGTTTAAACAGTCCGCAAAAGTAACTTCGTGCTTTCTGAATCAAACTGCAGGTATCTCTTGCAGTGACACTTGCTACATCTAGCTTTTATCACTGTCTGGATCTCAAAGAACTAAAATACTATTTATTCTTAGCTTGTGGAAAATTCTTAAATTCAATCTTAATTTCAAACTGGTTTTCCTTAGTTCTTAAAAAGAAACTGACTTCCAAATGAAGACTGAATTGAAAAACGGGTAGTTACTGGCTACCTAAGATTTTATCTTTTAAGCTAACTTTCTCATAAGTGTTCAGAGTATAAACAAATATATAATTGGCACTGGATTTGCAGGTTTGAATTACCCATATAGAGGAATGAAAGATAGTGGCAGAAATATGAGTTGGCTGTGGTGTTTACAATGAAAATGTTTTTGTGCAGCTTGAAACACAAAACCTTCACATAGAACTTGTATTTACAGTGCACAGCAGAGCAGTGAAACAGTTCAAATGGTATAGCTTTAGAACCCCATTCACGCACATTCTACCAGAATTGTGCAAGAGTGTCAGCCAAGACAATGACAAAGACCTGTCGTGGGGCTTTAACTCACAACTTTCTGAATCAGAACCGAGAGTGCTACCACTGAACCCTACTGACATTTTTTAACATTATACCTAGAATCATAGGAGTAATGGTTCCTCCTTCTGCTTCTGAAAGGTTCTTAACTTCATGACCCCCACCTAGTTAAGCTGCTACTTAAACTGATCACAGTCAATTTGATCTCTTTTGATAGACACCCGATTGAAAAAAGGCAAAGTGGTCCACTCCATTCAGGACTACACTGAGCAGTTCCTTAAAGGCAAACCGACAACCATATTTGTCACCATTAAGCTCAGCAGCAACAAAGTGATTGGTGTAAATGGTACATTACTCCAGGAAGGAAAAGCCATGCATACTTGATGAACAAATCTACCTTACATAGTTCTGAATGATGACTTTTACTCACACACACAGCCGCAGCTCTGAGAAGATTGGTCTGGTTCCAAAATGTCAAATGCATTTGTGAAGGCAATATATTTCCACCATCACAAACTAGAGTGTTAATGATGGGCATGATATTTTTCAAAGGCTAATCTTTATTAACAATGTTCCTGGAATAGTAGAATTAAAAGCCACTTGGTACTTGAAGTGCCAGCTCTGTGGATTCCCATTCCCTAAAAATTCTTCTAAACTTCTCCCTCTTTTTTTGGTAACGCTTTTCAATTTGTGTAACTAGTTACTGACTCGTCAACATGTTTCATCTTTCTTCACATAAAATGGAAGTGGCTGGAATTACTGAAATGGAGAGTTACGGATTGAATTGCAATACATGTGCACAATAACACCTGTAAGTCTTGACAATTCTAGTTCCCCACAGCATACAAACAATACAGAGAGACTGAACGTGGTTTCTTGATTGTCCTATTGTCCTATTGAAGCTTATGGAGCAGCGATGATGTGAAACTATAGATCTCACAAGTACTTTACTCACCACAGGATCACCATAAGGCTAAAGAAAAATATATATCTTACAAACGCATTGAAAAACTGAAAATGAATGACTGCCAATCTCTCCTCATCAGACTTGCATCAGTTTATTCTAACCCAGCCCGAGCAATGGAGTGGGTCTATTTGAGAAATGGAGTAATCCACCTGAGGTATTTGGAGCACCAAAGGAAGAATTGAGGCCACAATTCATTTAATTCATCTGTCCCTTTAATTCATGGTCATGAGAAATTGTCTTCACAGTATCTCCTTCCATTAAGCTCTCTCCTCTCCTCACACCATCCATCATGAAACCACCTTTTGATGGCCCCACCAATAACCGATGAAACGCAAGACATTCACAATTACCTGATGGCACAGCCACAGTCTTCACAGAATGCTAACTGCAAGGATTAGATTTACAAGTGGCCCACTTGAACAGAATGCCAATCAGAGAAGTCAAGTGCACAGGGCTATTCAGTGAGCTGAACAGGGGAGCTCTCAATGTGCCGTGGAAGTTAATGACATTATTCTGAATTAGAGATCAAGGGACTGGATGAACAATTCAGCACTGTATTCACTTTGCAGACACAATCCAAATAACAGATAGATGGCAGACAATGAAGAGCCATTTGATGCAAATGTTTATGAAGTGATGAAAGCAGAGTGAGTGACTTTATTATTTGCTCTGGATGGTTGATCAGTCTGATGGTCAGTGCTGAATGTGAATTGAATGTTTCACCATTCCTACAGGGACAGGAAGGAGACTGAGAAGTAGGCAGCCATGTTAACCAAAGATTATTTTTGTAGCCTATGCCAAGCAGCGATATTGCTTTCTTGCTAACCACACAGCGCTTTAATGTTTTAATAACTGTTAATGAACTGTTACTCTTGGAAAGGAAAACTCCAGGCCATTAACAAATGCTTATAATACAGAGCGAAATTTTAATTTGTGAGGTCTGATACTAATTTATTTTTTATCTGAACATCGGAATAGAATCTTCCAAAGTCCAATATCTTCAAATAGCGGCACTGAATGGTCACCATCATTAGTGTCTGTATAATGTATTGTCTTTTCAAACATCTTCAGGATTTCATGTTTCTCAATACCTTTAGTGAAGGCAACAATGTGCAGAAAATTAAGGCGCGATATAGGGAGAGACAGGGCATGCAGACTCTTCTCTCTCCTCTGCTCCATGATCCAAAGGATACAATACAAAGTACAATACAAAATTAAACTTGTAAAGCGCCTTTCACATGAGAAGGACATCCCAAGGTGCTGAACAGTCAGGGATTAGACCCGAGCTGGGGGAGGGATTGGGTTGGGATCAGGGAGGGTGGAGGGCGGGGAGGGTGGCCGAAGGCACGGTCGAAGAGGAAACTCTTGAGGCATACCTTGAAGAAGGCAAGGAAGTGAGCAAGGAGAAGGGAATGTGGGATGGAGTTCCAGAGGGTTGGGGCAGAGACGCTGAAGGCCTGACCACCAATGGTGGGGCAGGTCGGGCAGGGGACAGATCTACTGAACTTTGGAGCTGTTGGGAAAGGAAGAAGCAAAATATCCAGTGAGCTATAAAGCTGTAACAGCTGATCAAGAATGAAGACCAGGAAATACAGGAACTTCTTCACCGTTAAGGTCCTGAAGGCTCTGCCCTGGGGAGGTACAGGGCTGGATCTGGATTGATGTGCCCTCAGTATCCTCTAGGATTATACTCAGAATTATTCCCAAGGAGCTCACACACCAATATTACCAACCATAGAATGTCAGCCTCTAGTTTGGTGGTGGTTTTATGTGAAGAGTGGATATTTCTATTGCTGTGTGTGGAGGGGACAGTCAGGCCATCCTAATTTGGGTAATCCTAATTTGACAGATGGAAGAATTCCTATCGAAGTCTTCTTTCTGTCAATAATTGAAGGTCTTGTTCCTGCTACCTGGCCTATGGACCTTTGGCAGTGAATCACTATCAAATGTGCAACAAAATGAAAAACAAAGTATTCACATTCTACTGGAAAATGTGGGCCACTGTGTTACTGACTTATTATCATCCTACAGTGAATAAATTTCAAAGGAGATGGGAATGAATGGGCTAACTTATAATTACCCTCAACCAAACAGACCATAAAAGAAAGCAGCACTATTTAATCCTTCAGAACAGAAGAATTATGAACAGAACAATGACTGACCTTAATCCCCAATTCTATGTTCTCTCCACCATAAACATCCATTCCAGGGTCCAGCAGCCCGATCTCACCAAAGAATAATCTATTCACCACAAAGGAGCATCCAATCATGGCTGGAGTCCTGAAAAAAGAAAGCAATGCACCTATTCATCAATTACAGAAAATCCCACTGTATTCAAAAAGCAAAAGACTTTGAAGCGGAAGTTCCCTTCACACTAGGTGTCCCCAAGATCCTTGAGAAATGATCCTTCCTTTGACTTTAGTAATATTTGGTAGATTTGTTTTTCCAGTACTGATTTTCTTTTGTATAGTAACTATTTATAATTACTCTCAACCAAACAGACCAGAAAGGAAATCAGCACTGTTAATCCTTCAGAAAAGAAGAATTATGAACAGAACAATTGCTGACCTTAATCCCCAATTCTATGCTCTCTCCACCATAAGGGGAGGGGAGTATAGTCAAGGGGAGATCTCAAAGCTCAAATGGGTTTAAGATTACATTTTTGACAATGTAATATTTTGCAGTAAAAAGTATAATAATTATAGCAAGTCTTCATTTAACTGTTAAATCCAGTGTAAATAAAACAGTAATCAGGATATGGATGAGGCTTTGCACTCTGAAGATTTGGGCACTCTAGTGTGCAACAGATTAATTCATTCCTTATGGAGAGCTCAAAAAAATCAGTGGATTTCCCCAAAGCTAATTTGACAAAGATAATAGTGCAGTATTGATGGCACTTCATTTACAAAGCTCTATTGTTACCATTTTCCAGTTAGAATGACATTCACAGAGCAGCCCTGGAATATCTACAATTGTGTTATGAACATCTCTGAAGCATAATGTATATATAACACAGATAGCTGCACAAGGTTTGTTTCCTTTGGCAACAGCTCATCTGGAGAAATTATCACTTTGACCAAAGGGAATAATTTTTAAAATGAGGTTTAATGGGGACAGTTTAGACAAGGGTATTCTCATAAAATTAGTACCAGTGCTACTGATTTAGACAAAGATATTTTTCTAAAGCCTTCTGTAAACAAACTCAGGAAATTATGCAATTGCCAAATACACTTCATTCTCTGTTTTGTATCAGCTGTCTCAGTTGGGTAATCTACAAGATCACAAAATTGGTCTGGATGAAAAAGACCCTTCGGCCCATCCAACCTCACAAACCCTACGGTCCCCCCATCACTAAATCAAGCTGCTTTTTAAATAAGTCCAATGTCCTGGCCTCTACCACCTTTTTGTTCCAGTCATTGATTACCCTCCACACAAAGAAAAGCTTCCTGGTGTCTGTCCTAAAATTGACCTTTACAACTCTAAACCTATATCTTCTTGTTCTGTTGTCATGATACATCCAAGAATACTTTTTCAATTCCATTTAAAATTTTATACCTCTATGACAGGAGTGGGCAATTATTTTGGCTGGCGGGCCACTTCATGAGTTTTGGTAAGATTCGTGGGGCACACACTTAATAGATGCCAATGCTTAATAATAGCTCAAAATCAAGTCTTACACTTATACATACATAAAATAAAGTCTATATAATTGACATTCATTAAAATTAGGTTAAGTAAAAACAACCCATTGAACAGACATTTATACACTATTTACTCACATATTGATGAGAATGTGAGAAGCTCACTTAATGGGAAGAATGAAAGCGCTGATGTGCATTAACCAGACAATTGAAGTCAGGCATCGTCTCCGTTGTTGCAATGCGGAGTACTGCTGCAAGGTGGTCATCAATCATCACAGATCTTTGTTTTGATTTATTAAATTTCATCACAGAAAATGTCTCCTTGCATATGCATGTTGATCCAAACGGCACAAGCATCCTCCGGGCATCAGCCTTTATTTTTGGAAAGGTATATTCATTAAGAGAGGCGTAAAAACTGGGAAGCGGCACTGATCCAAATTGCTCCGCAAGCAATGGATCATATTGCAGGTCAATAAGCTCGAGTTGGAGGTCAAATGGGGCTTTGTCAACATCAAATGAGAAATGAGAAAGGTGAAGAGACCAAAGACAGGGCATTTTCGATCAAATTGAAATCCTGGAATCGGAGAGAAAATTGGCATTTAAATCAAGTAGTGACGAAGTCTACTTTTTAAGGCTTTGATCGCAAACAATAATCTGCTGCAAAGTTGGAAAGTGGGCGAACTGCCTTTTTTCTATCTGACGCGATAAAAGAAATAAGTTTGTCATAAATGAGTTGACACTGCAATATAAATCGTACACAAATGTCCCCTTCCGTTGCAGTTTTGAATTCAGTTCATTTACGTGGTCCACAATATCAATGGCAAATGGGAAATCAGAGAGCCAATTCGCATCATTCAGCTGTGGGAAATCCGAATCTTTTTGTTTCATGTTCAAAAATAAATCAATCTCTGTTCTCAGTTCCCACACTCTTTTCAAGACCTTTCCTAAGCTAAGCCATTTTACATTGGTGTGATACAGAACATCCGTCTGTTCGAATTCCAATTTTTCAAGCAGTTACAAATTGCCTGTGGTTCAATCCTCTTGGTCGAATGTAGTTGACCACTTTCATAGCTGTATCCACGACATTGCTTAGTTTTAGAACACTCTTACAGAGGACCTCTTGGTGGATAATGCAGTGTAGAAAAACAATATTCCGTTCTGGATTTGTTTCTTTGACTTGATCTTGAATTCTTTTCAGTAACCCTATATTTTTGCCTGTCAGATTTGGGCTTCCATCGGTGGTCACATTCACCAATTTTTTTCTACTTCACTCCTAATTTTAAGATACACTTATTTATTGCCTCCAAAAAGTCTTCACCAGTCGTCGAGTTTTTACATGACTGCATTGATGCCAATTCTTCTGTGAGCTCAAAATGTTTATGATACCTCGAATAAAAATCATCATCTGGGTTGTGTCTTTATCATCACAACTCTCATTGATTGCCAGTGAAAAACATACAAAATTGCTTACTTTATTTTTTAACTGGAGATAGAGGTTCTCAGAGATATCCTCGACACGTCTCACAGTAGTTTGCCTTGACAAGCTAATGTTCTCGAACTGTTTTTTCTTGTCTGGGCAAAAATCGAGGCAGAGTCAACCATACATTCCTTTATAAATTCTCCTTCAGAGAATGGTTTGCTGTTCTTGGCGATTTTGTGTGCAATCATGTAACTCACTCTTGTAATCTCATCCTGGGACGCAAATTGTTTTGTGCAAATGCTTTGCTCTTTTCGCATTTGAACAACCATCTCATCAGCTTTCTTTTTCTTCGGCAGAAACATTCTTATATTTGCAAGCATGTTTGCTCTCAAAATGGCGATTCAAGTTGTAGTCCTTTGAGCACTGCCACACTTTCTTTGCAAATTAAGTACAGCTTTTCCACCCACACTGGTACAAAAATATTCAGAAGTCCATTCTTTGTTGAATATTCGGCCTTCAGTGTCCACTTTCTGCTTCTTTGATAAACTCATTTTGAATTAACGTCCTCTTCAGTGAAAAGTATTGCTGCGGTTGCCGCACGTGTTTGAAAATTTGCCGATCCGTACATTTCTGACGTCGGCCGGATTCAACACTTAAGGGAGCGTGCGCACAACTAAGCCGTGTGATTGGCTGATGTTCCTGGTCAGATTCAAATGCGAAATTTGTGGAGAAAAAAACTAGCGACTTTAATTATTAAAAATTGATGCTGTGACCAAAGTAAGAAACATAAGGGATGCATTTAAAACTGATCCTTTCTGGGACTGAACAAACTATAATGTTTTCCATTGCTAGACACAATGTCGGGCCATATTTTGCCCACCCCTGCTCTATGAGGTCCCCACTGAATCATTTTCTCTCAAGACTGAAGAGCCCTAGCTTATAATAATAATAATAATAATAATCCTTGCATTTGATATAGCGCTTTTCATGTCAGTCGGACATCCCAAAGCGCTTCACAGAACACACTGTAAAGTGAATTGACTGTATATTTGTGGGCGAACGCGGCAGCCGATTGCGCACAGCAATGTCCACAAACAGTCGTAGATTGAAAATGACCAATTTATTATTGTTTTTGGTTTTGGAGGGATTATCATTAGGCTCTGTGTGGAGAAAGGAAACTTGCCCGAGGTTTCGCCCTCTGCCTGGAATTGAACTCAGGTCTCTCACTTGCAAAACGAGTGCTCTAAACACTGAGCTACAGGACTCCACAAATTTGTGGAAAGTGTGGCTTGTCTAATTGTTGCTCATAGTTCATTCCTCTAACACTGGGGATCATCCCCATTGCTCTATTCTACACACCTTTAGGACTTGGATAGCCTTCTTATTTTGCAGTGACCAGAACTGTGTTCAGTATTCAGTTTAACCAGCGTAAATTGTAGCCTGAGAACAACAACTTGCACTTATATAGTGCCCTTCACACGAGGAAGCAATTCAGAGAGCTTATCTCTGAGATCCTCAAAGGGAACGATATCCTGGGATCTAAGTTCATCTGATTTAGCAATATAGGCAGGATCCTTTTGCCTCGCTACTCCCACCATTGAGACAGAGGGATGTCGACTAGGTGGGCCGAGTGACCTGTTTTCAGTGCTGTACACTATACTGTATGTATTTCTATGTAACTACAGTCAAAGCTGTTCAAGCAACCACCACCTGTTAACAACCGCTCTGTAACAGCACAGTTCGCACACCAATGAATCCTTACTCAGAAGCCACCCTTATAAAAGGGCCAGTTTGGTGGGAGGTGGGAGGGCGACCGAAGGCATGGTCGAAGAGAAGGGTTTCGAGACCGGCCTTTAAGTAGGCAAGGGAGGAAGCGAGGCGAAGGGACTATGGGATGGAGTTCCAGAGTGTGGGGGCAGAGAGACTGAAAGCCCGGCCACCGATGGTAGGGCGGGTCGGGCGGGAGACATGGAGCAGGCCTGAGCCTGAGGAGCGGGCAGGTTGGCAGGGAGTTAGCAGGTCAGAGAGGTAGGAGAGGGCAAGGCCGTGGATGGCCTTGAAAGTGAGGATGAGGACTATTTTTAAATTAGATTTTACAGTGACTGTGAAAATCTTGTTGATTGAAAGCTAAGCCACTTGGAACCCAGGTATCAAAAAGTGGCACTTAATGAAGCAATGCATAATTAGCTCACTCAAAATAAATGGGGAATTCAAAATCC